CAAGCCAGTGTAGTCTACGTTAGATATTTGGTCTGGCACATAACCTCCATCTTCAACGTGATCTTCCTAAATGAAGGAAAATCACTTGCTGCACTTAAGTTGGCATTCCTTGCTTCACGTCGCACTTTAATATTACGTCACTTTGCTCCCGCTTTGGAACGATGGAACCACCCGACTTGCAGAGAAACTCTTTATTGGAGTCCTTTGAAACCAAAGAGAAGCTTTGAGACTTTTCTTGAAGTAACATAAGGCTAAAGGGCGGGTTACACTGTTTGGCCACGTAACAAATCATCAGTAGCCTTTCTAGTACAATCATGAGGAGGCCACCACACTGCTTAGTGATCAGTATAGCTTTCTTCGGAAGGGCCATTTCACACCCTCCATCAATCTCACTTTCTCCTTTAAAGTTGCTAGGCTGGCGTTTGTCTGATGGCATTTCATCTCTGAGTTCCCTTTATTCTTTCCACTGTATTTTCTGCTGTGAGCGCACCCGTCTCTGTATTGCTTCCCCAGCACTGTGTCCGATTGCCACCCTGGAGGCATGGTGACAGGGGCGGGCCAGAGGGAGATTCAAGCCAGATACACAGGCAGCACAGTTTAGGGGCATTGGAGTCTGACTGAAAAGGCAGATGCTGCTCCCCGTCTTGGAAATGACAAACGGCTGAAGCCGTGCATCGACGTCTTACGTATCACAGTGTCGTGTGTGCGACTCTTCTGATTAGCACAGATGACTAATACAGCAGGCTTGATGGCAGCCGTGCTCAAGTACAAATTGCCTGGTAAGTCGGACATTCTTAACTCGGGAAACTACTGTGTTGGATACTGAAAAGTTCTACCTGAGTGTAAACTTCTTACTATCTTTGCCCTCTGAGAAGGTCAACAGTAGGGCACTGTGGTAGTCACCTAATCTGGTGTCAATTTAAGGATTAAGAGTGTAGGGGTGGAGTCTAGGCTGTCAATCTGGAGATAGTCAGTGAGACTTCTGTGTGGGCATGGCCTTCTCCTGAGAATTCTGGGAAATCTGGTACTTCCTGCGTGGAGGTGGAAGACACCTCTCTTTCTCTGCTACTCCCTGGGAGACATTGCAGCTGACAAGACCTCTGGAGCTGGAGAAGCCACATAGAGCCCCCTGCCATTGCTGAGATGCTTACAACGCCACTGGATCCAAAGACTTCCTACCCACTGGCCTGTGATCGTCCTGCATTTGGGATCATTGCATGTGTTTCGTGAGTCTGAAGAGGACTTTATGGATTGCTGTCACACATATGGACTAACATCGGACTTATGGATTTGATCAGGACTGGGCTGGGATGTTTACTTAATGTTCAATTGCTCTAGTATATAAACCTCTCCCTTATATACATATGTGTGTTTATGAATTTGTTTCTCTAGTCTACCCAGACTAACACAGGCACCATCAACATAGGGGATATTGGAATGGGTAGAAACCTGAGTTCCCTTTCTGAGAAGCCGTGTGCAACTTCTAAAAGGGGCTCTGCTCTGTCCATTCTCGGCCCAAGGCATGGAAGTGAAAAAGTTCAGCTTCCACTTCTTACCCAGGCAGGCTGGTCTGGGCCCTACAACCCTCTGACTCCCTGGTGTGGCTTTTGTGGCAGGCATTCCTGAACCCTTGGTGGGTGGTTGGATACGCGCACGCCATGTTGAAGCTTGTGCCCATGGTAGAGTTTCTTCCGCCCTGACCTAGCTGAAGGAAGAGGCTCTGTCTTCATCTTCTCACCTTGGCTTCTAATGAGTATCGGTGTGCCTCGTGCCCACCCCCCCCCTATTTCCTTTGAGCGTATGTTGTGCAGTTCATCGTGGCGTGGGAGTTCTGCCCCTTGTGACGCCTCAAAGAGTCCCTTCCTGCTTCATTTGAAACCCTTAAGGCATCTTCTTGAATCAGTGGGAAAAGAGAGTAATAAACTTTCTGGTTGTCTAGTAGTTTCCATTCATTTTTGGCACTGGTCATTTAACTTTAATACTTAGCCCACTTTTCTTTCCTATAAATCATTCAAGAAAATAACTAATAAATTCCGATTGTTAGATTCATCCATCAGGCTTCTTAACATTTTTAAACACTGAGTATATTACACAGGGATTAAAGCCTAGGCAGGAAATACCTGCAGAATTCCATTCTACAATCATTACCTGGGCGCAGTAGCTTTTGGGACTTGCTGGCTTTGGGGGCAGGGCAGCCTGGGCTGGGAACTGAGGCTGTCCTGTTTCTGTTAGTCTGGGTAAGTAACGCATCCCCTCAGCCTCTGTGATCTTACTTGTACAGTCATTGTAAGATGGCATGTGGGCTGGTTTTTAAGGATTGCGTGGGGTTTTTTGAGAGTTACCTGGACTGCTTCCTTTGGAGAGGTTGGTACAGTGCCTCCCACACAGGTGGCATTTGAGGGACGGCAGTTCCTGTGCTCGTCACCGTGAACACGGAGAGCCTGCAACACCAGCCAGGTGGCTGCTGTACGGAAGATGTCCAGGATCTTCTGGTGGTCTGTGTGTGGAGTCTGTTCTATAACCTCTAGACACACTGGTTCCTCTGCGGAAGGGATTTGGATACGTAACTCAAGGAGCTCTGACCGTGCTGTGGTGTAAGCATTGGGCTGCTGACCATGGGGTGGTGGCAGTTCAAACCCACCAGGCGCTCTGCAGGAGAAAGGGGAGGCTGCCTGCTCTCTGGGGAACTATGAGGAGCAGTTTGCTGGGTCTTGTGGGGTGTCTGAGTTGCAATGGACCCAGTGGCAGTGGGTTTGGTCTTGTTTTATTCTTACTCTTTCTTCTCTGGGTCACTTGGTTGAGACCCATGGAGGTGTCATCTATCCCTGCCCCCTGCAGTGGGGGCTGCCTGGAGAACAGAAGTCCCCAGCAAAGGGATGAAGAAGTAGATCACTTTTGGGGGGGCATTTCAACAGAGAACAAAACAAACTCTCCATTGCTCTCCCCGCAGCCAAGCTCGTTCTCTCTACCTCTGGGTGTCATTTGTTAAGCTCTTTCCCCGCCGTGGCGAGAAGGTCACCCTGCCATTGCTTCCATCCACTTGCCCCCTTGGGAAAGAAGCAAAGTATTGCAGGCAGCGTGGCTGCAGCCCTTTCATGCTTTTTGCTCCCCATCTGCATGAGGGCAGGCGTAGAGATGCCCTGCTTCTCCCTTGGTGGGTTATCTGGAATCTTGTAACATCAGGGACTCCATGGGTCTCAAAGGCCCCTGGGTGTTGCAAATGGTTCATGCTCAAAAGCTAATCTCAAGGGTGACAGTTCAAACCCATCCAGTAGCACTGCTGAAGAAAGTCCTAGTGATTGTCTGTAAAGATTACAGTTATGAAAACGTGATAGAACTATTCCAAAGTGAGACACATAGGATTGCTATGTCTTAGAGCCAACTTTAAGTCAACTGTGTGTGTGTGTGTTTTAATGGGGAACCATGTTTGAGGATCCAGGGTTTGGGGGGTGCATTTGGAAGTAGAAGCAGAATGAGAGTTTCTGCCTGATTTCTCATACTCCCCCGCCCACCCCGTTTTCTGTATTCCAGGTGTACGTGTCTTACGACTATGGAAAATCATTCAAGAAAATCTCGAAGAAGTTAAACTTTGGTGTGGGAAATAACAGTGACTCTGTGATCACCCAGTTCTACCACAGTCCCTCAGACAACAAGCGAGTAAGGAAGCAGCTTTGGGACTGGGGGGTGGGGGAGCTGGCTTTGGGAGGCTTTCTGCATCGGGTTTCTCTTGTGTGTACGCTGTGGGGGGACTGTGGCTCACCTGGGCCTTGTGACAATGTTCAGTTCTTGCCTGGGGCTGAGCGTCAGCGGCAGGCGCAGTAATGGCCGGGCTGCCAGCACACAGAGTGGGAGGTGAAGCCACAGGGCCCAGCACCTCGTCCAGGACAGGTCTCCCAGAGCAGCCACTGACCTCTTGGTCCAATTGCCATTGTGTGTGTCTGTGTACATGAGTGTGTGTTTGTATGCACTTGAGTGTGAGGATGAGTGTGTGTTGTATGTGTATTTAAGTGTGTTTTTATGCGTGTGAGTGAGTTGTGTATGTATAGATAAGTATGTATACCTCTCTGTGTATACGTTTGTATGTCTATGTCTATTTTGTGTCTATATGGAAGTATGAATGAGTATATGTGTTTATGTATGTGCATATGAGTTTATGTGTATATATGTGAATATGAGTGTGTTTGTATATATGCATGAGTGTTTTTGTGGTATATATATATATAT